GTCTTGAGTGATTGCTCAGCGGCTGAGAGCCACCACTTGGGCTGCCTCCAAGTACAGCTTTTGCTTTGCATGTGGCTGCGGCTGCGGCTGCGACTGCTGTTGTAACTTCTGTTTTTACGAGCGTTTCGGTTCGTTTCGGTTTTGCATTTTCCTCAGGCCCCACAAAAATCAAAACAAGAACTGAAGGCTAACCGAACGGATGGCCAAGTGGTAGATACTCTAGCGGATCACCAGATACAGGGATGCAACAAGTGGGAGAGTCTTTCCAAAGATGTATCCAGCGAAATGAGAGAGTTTTTCCCACAGAGAGTTTGGTTTCATGTATGCTATCGAGATCTGTCTTTATCTTTGTTTCGTCTGGGAAAATCTCAAGGAAATCCCTCAAGAAACCTTACGGATCATCATTGGTGCTTGATCGCTTCCTTCGTCTGGCAAATGGCTATACCCTCCATAAATGAAAGGGTATACTGCGATACATAATATTGGAAAAGAGAAGCGAAGTCAGAAAACTGGTTGACACTGTGAACGAGTGGCCATAAAATCGTTGACAAATCAGCCACAGAAACAGCAGCGGCAGCGGCAGCGGCAGTCCACGTGCGTGGGGCGATAGGCGACAGCAAGAGTCACAGCAACCGTAACAACATTCGAACAAGACCCAAAAGATACAAAGATACATTTCGGAATCGGAATTGGAATTGGAATCGAGGCGTTCGAGGCTTCAGATTGTATAATTCTTGACCAGCGACAGAGACATTGACATAGTCGAATGCATAATGAACCCCCCCCCCCCCCCCACACACACCGCCTACCATTCCATTCTAATGGCACACATTTTGTGCACAACTGTACCTCGCTGCCGCCCCCGTACTGCTCTCCCCAGCAACACACACTTGCAGCTAATTGAACTACTTTAAGCATCGACGTGTGTGCGACGTACGAGGTAATGGCCATTCGAAAATGAATGTCCAGATGTTATTTTTCACTGCCTCCCGCCATCCAAATGGCCGCCCAATTGGTTTCTATAATAGTGGAATCTGAGAAGTAGAAAGGGAGGGATGTCATGCGATGCAGTTCGATCGTAGACATCCGATGAGATCACAAATGATGCCACGCTAATCATCGTGCCCATTAAGGGGCGGCCCGTCTACGGCGGAAATTCTCGCCAGTTCTGGAGCTTCGGGAAATTCAGTAACAATCGATTTACTATCGATAGCAATAATTTATCGACACTTATCGAATGGGATCATTGAATGGTTCTTTTGATGACTGATTGATAATCGAAACTTTAAATGCGATTGTCCAACCAATTCTGATTTTTTACGAAATTCAGTAACAATCGATTAATTATCGAAAGCCCTAATATGTCGACACTTATCGATTGGGATTATTGAATGGTTCTTTAAAGCCTGATGTTTATAGAAATTCAATAACAATCGATTAATGATCGATATCCATCATCTATCGAAATGAGTCGATTGGTTTCTGTATTGATCATTGAATTATCGATCATTCGATTGCGAAAATTATGCAAAAAATGCGATTTTTAAACCAATTGTTAAATTTTGTGAAATCCATTAACAATCGATTAGTTATCGATAGGCTTAGAATGGCCTAAGCGATCGCTTCTTTGCTGTACTTACTTTGTGGTGAAATTCTGAAACCCAATCGATTGGAAGATCCTGGAAATAGAGAAACAGGAAATGGAAAATGAGAAATGAGAAATATGAAATATGAAACGAAGGATGTGTGAAGGACACTCGTGCAATATGGAATTCTTAGAGCTGGGGGACATGGACACTGCTGAATGCTGATGCCGATAAGCGGGGACATGGCCAGAGATGGGGATATGCGGAAAAAGCAACGAGACATTGCAGGAAGGCCACAAAAAACAGGGCAAATGAATAGCAAGACAAGAGAGGGAGCGTGCAACTCATGTGCACGCACTCGTTTGGTTACGAGTCGTCCAGGCGTCCTCTGTGCGTGTTTGTCAGGATGCGGAATCCTGAATCCAGAATCCGGGCTACGGGATGCGGGATGCGGGATGCGGGATACGGGATTGAATCATTGAATCGAATTGAATACGTGCGAGCACGAAGCAGCATCAGCATCAGCATCAGCATCAGCATCAGCATGAGACTCAGAGTCTACCCAACCCAACGCGCAATGGCTACGTGTTCTGTGTCCTGTGTCCCGTGTCCTCTTCGGATCCTGTATGTGTCCTGTCCTGTGTGGGTTCTGCGCCGTGTTGTTATGTATTAGCAAGATGTCAATGTATGTTTGCAAGGAATTATGTCCAGGCATCTCCCCAGCACACACGGAACGTCCCCAAAAAACTGTATGTCCGTGGCCATTCCATGCCCGCGTTAAAGCCATCAAATGCTGTCCGATTCTGACAAACAAACAAACAGACAGACAAACAAACAGAACAGAACAGAACAGAACAGGGAACAGAACGCAAAAAAGTCTACAGAAGAAAAAAGGAAAGAAAACCTGCGGCTTTCTGATGCTCCACACCCGTTCGCATCTTTCCTCTCCTCTCCTCTCCACTCCACTCGTCTCGTCTGGTGCCCCCAAATCGACATCAGTTGCTGATTTTTAATTAAAAATTTGCGACGTGTGAAGTTGATTTCAATTTGGGCTCCACGATGCTGACAGATGAACTGATATAGGAACTGAGGCTCTGGCTCCGCAGAATGGAAGGGCATGGACATGGAATGGTCCCACTATCCTAGCCCATCCTATGCCGTCCTATCCTAGACCCTCTGACGATGTTCGTGACTGACCAACGGATGCAGAGGAGGCGGCGGCGGAGGCGGAGGCGGAGGCCAGTTGATGGCTCTCGCGTGGCTGAAATAACATTTGATTCCTGGTGACAGCCGCCGCCGCCGCCCCCGGAACAGCAGCCGTCGTCACATCACATGAGTCTTTCGTCCTGACTCCCATCTCCCTTGAACCGGCCCAAAGGGCGGGCGGGTTCATAAATATAGATTAGCAAATCGAAACAGGAAATAGAACAGCACATTAAACGGGGGATTGGATACTGCGGAATGGGTGGATGTGTGGATGGGTGGATGGGGCTTTGGCAAATGCATTTCGAAGGATGTCAGTGTCAATTCGAGCATCGATTTCGGGCGATATCGGGAAATCAATGGAAAGACTGTCCCGGTCAGTGGATTTTCCAACTTTAAGCGAATTCCAGTCCTAGAGCGAATGATCTGGGAATCCTTGGGACTATAGATATATCGATATACCTAATCGATGACACACAGCTGTGCGAGTGGGCTTTGTTCTTCGCACAACCTCTTCTTGTCGCCCATCGGCAGCCATCAAGTGGCAAGTGCAGCCAAGCGGTGCACCATCCGTGCCCCTGCCGCTTCAATTTGGGATCTAATGCGGGTGTCAAAGTCATTGTTATAGGTCACATATGTACTATGTGTGTGTGTGGGTATATAAGTACCGTTATGGCATTAACCTTATCAGGCAGAAGACACTCGACTCGGCGAGGTACTTGACATTCACACACGCACTCGGACTCACGCACTCGCAGGGCAGGAGATTCAATGAGATTTTGAGCAGAGCGGAGTTCCGGACGGACGGACAGAGGGACAGAGGGACGGACAACGGGTCGTGTCGTCGTGAACGGTTTTTATGACCGATACGCGACCGAGGGAAGGGGCCGGGCAAGGGCTATTAACAAGTAATAATGACAACAACAGCACCAGCCATAAACTTGAGAGGAGAGGAGAGTGCAACAGTTGCACGAGAGTCGCGGTCGCGGCGGTCGCGGCGGCCGCGGCGGTGGTGCCACACACACTTGAACCCATAAATTCTAAGAACCCGCAGATAACCTACATATATCTGTATAAACACCACGCCACGCCACGCCACACCACATCGCTCTTCGCTTGCCCCGCCGCCTCGTGTGTAAACATTTGTGCGTGCCCCCTGCCTGAAAGATGTGCTTAAGCAAAGTGCAACAGCAGCAGCAGCAGCAGCAGCAGCATGCCACATGCCACAACAAGCAACAAGTTGCTGCTTATTTTTATTATTGTTGCCCCGTTGATTATGACAACACACACTGCCCCGCACAGCCACCGTCGCAGAATGATCTGAGGAGAAGCCATTACTTTGTGGGCGGGGGAGGGGGGTCTCCCTCTCTGAGCGGAAGGGAGATCCACCCGGGCTGCCACAATCTTTTTGTGTGTGACTCGAAAACCATCTCCATCTCCATCTCCATCTCTGGGTACATCTTGGAATACAGTGGCAGCCATAAAACATTGACAACAAATTGTCGACCATTCAGAGGGAAGAAAATAAATATCGCTAAGGTTATCGCCAATGGAATCCAATGACATCCATCGAAAACGAATGACTCTTAGGAGGCTGTTCATGAGAGAAGATCGCTCTTGAAGCCGATCTGAAGGGAACTCAAGGAATATTCAAAAAGAGAGACCGAATCACGACTTTGGGGAAGTAAATTCTTCGCAAGAATTCCAAGCTGTGCTCACAGAAAGACATACGAAAGACCATTAGAAGCGTACCGCGTCGTGCAGCAGTGCCCCTTGGTCACTTAAGGCAAGGTACGCAGTTGGGCTGTGGTTCTGCGGCTTGGTATCGTTTCCACCGCTTGAGGATACTTTTCCAGATGAGTATTCCCAGTAGTCATCCAGATGGAAATCTGCCGGGATAGATTTTAGAGAAAATTTGGCAAGTAATTCCCCCAATGATCCCATAGTACGATGAGAGGAGGGCCCTGGCTTCGACTCTGGGCTCTGGGCTCTGGGCTCTGGGCTCTGGGCTCTCGGCTTTGGGCTCGGTGTGCGGCCTCTCAGAACCGGTATATGCTTCATGCCACACACAAATAAGGGGCAAGGGCAGGGAGGGGTGGCTGGCTGGCTGGTTGAAACAGCTGCCACAAAAACAAAGGAGATAGGGATGGGGCACAAGACACATTGGGTGGCAAGTACTAAACGTTCTCTCTTTCTCTCTTCTGATTGCAGCGATTAATAGAAGAAGAAAGCAATCCAGGAACTGGAGGATTGGCGATTGGCTGGGATTCACGATGGCATCGTCAAGAACTGGAACTGGAAGTGGAACTAGAACTAGAACTAGAACTAGTGCTGGTTCCAGCCGCTGGCTAATGAACTTCCTGCTGGCGGTGGCCGCCCTGAATCTGCATCTGGAGGGCGGAGCCCATGCCCTGCCCATCACGTCGCGTCCGATCGAGGGCAACGCCCAGCGGATGGCCTGGGACGAGTGGCTGAGCCTGCCGCTGGAGCAGAAGAGCCTCGAGAAGGAGAAGAAGGTGACGGCCAAGTCGATATTCACGCTCCCCTTCCGCCACTGTCCGCCGGGGCACACGCTCTACAACGAGCACTGCATCCCGCAGATCAACATCGACCCCGCCGATCTGCTCAAGCAGGAGCTGATCTACGCGAATGCGGGGGCTCCCGGCTCCGGCAGTCCCACGGCCATCATCACGGACTACGACTACAGCGAGGACGGCAGCGAGGAGGTGTCCGGCGACGAGCTGCTCTACGACCTGGAGCCGCAGTCGCAGCAAACGACGGGAGAGGCCGGAGGCGAGGACCAGGCCCTGCCCAGTGCGGACGCTCCGCTCAAGTTTAATATATTCGAAAAGAAGTTTCCCACGGGCCCCGCCCTCGGCGGGGAGTCCTCACCCGAGGAGTCGCCCGAGGAAGAGACAGCCAGGCTGCCACCAATAGTTGCGGCCACAGCCACAGCCACCACCGACACCGCCACCACCACCACGCCGAAGCCCGCAACCACGACCACAGCTACACCGAATCCAAAGCCAACTCCCAGCAATCGCATTCCTGCTGGAGGAGATCTCCAGGCCGCCTCCAGCAATGCTCTGTCCACGACGTCGTCCAACATTGACATTGGCAACATTGCGGCCATTGTGGTGCCCGCGGGGGGTCAGATGGCGCCCCCAGATGCCTCCTCGTCGTCGGTTCTTCTGGTGACAAGTTCCCTGACGACTGCCGACTCGAATGCGGATGCAAATGAGAGTGGAAAAACGAATGCCAGTGCGAATCCAAGTCGCAATGGAGTGGGGGACTTTAAGGTGAATGGCAATGCGGAGGCGGAGGCGGATCTGGCTCAGCTGCTCAAGGTCGATGCCTTTCTGCCGGCCTACGAGGGCAGCAGCATCGAGCTGTTGCCGCCGCCGCCGCCCTTCAATCATCGCCGTGTGGCGCCGCCGTTAAGCGCCGATCAAGATGATCCAGAAGTAGAGCAGGAGATGGAGATGGAGACGGAGATGGAGGAGGAGACCACCACAGATATTGTGGATGTAGAGGACGAGGCCACTACCGACACAACGGAGACCACCAGCTCCAGCACCAGCACCAGCACCAGCCCCAGCACCGTTGTGGAGGCGGAGACGACAATGGAGGAGTCATCGTCATCGTCATCATCATCGTCTTCACCTCCATCTCCAGCCCAGCATCCGCAAACGCATCAGAAAGAAGAACCAGAGATAGATGAAGGTGGAAATCGCCTGCTTTTGATAAAATCGAAAGTGCAACCGGTTCAGGTGACAGCAGCAGCAGCAGCAGCAGCAACATCATCCACAACATCCACACAGTCCACGACAACGACAATTGAGGCTGAAACCCAAGAGGCCGCCGCCACCGAACACGACCGGTTTCATTATCAGCAGATCCCCAAAGATGTGGTTGGCACAGCAACCACAGAGATCCCCGCCAGCAGCAGCAGCAGCAGCAGCAGCATCAGTAGCCACATCTTGAGTGGAGAGTACCCTTTGCTAGACGAGGAGGCGGAGGAGGAGACCGACAATTTAATGACAAATACCATTGGCGGTGAGATTAATGTCGATGAGGAATTGCGGAAAATAAACGAGCTGGTAAAGGGCACGCGGCGATTGTTGCAGCAGCAACGGCAGCAGCAGCAAACCTCCAGCAGCAGCAGCAGCAGCACTGAGGCATCATCCACGTCTTATGCCACAGAAAGTTCTACAAATTGGTCAAAACTCATGCCACAAGCAACAGCCACAACAACAACAGAGACAACTGCAAAAACAGCCGCAACAGAGAGCACTACTAGCACCTCAGCAGCAACAGCAACAGCAACAGCAACATCTACAACGGCAGCAACATCACATTTAAGTATTAATACAAATCGTAGCAATAGAAATAGTAAAATAATTAGAGTAGCGCAGGCGGAAGGTGAAACAACGACAGTGGCAACATCCACAGCAGCAGCAGCAGCAACAACAACACCCAACACCAACACCAGCAGCAGCAGCGGAAGCAGCAGCAGCAGCAGCAGCAAGGATGACGATGAGTATACACCATTCTGGTGGCTGCCGAATATTGGCTGGCGGCTCGATCGTCAGGTCGACAGGAATGGCGAGGATCGGGCGCTGTTGTTGCGTTTCTTTAGCACATTTCGAGCTGGCGATGGGGCCATGGCCTCCACGCTGCCACCGCGACGCTAACAGCAGCCACATCAGCGGCCGAGAGAGTAGAGAGAGAGAGAGAGAGAGAGTGCTCCCTGTGGCTCTGGAAACGAAGAACAGAGTCGCCTGGAGCATCAGTGTGGATCAGTGTTGATCAGCGCCGAGCAGTGTTGAGCAGCGTAGGGTGTAGTGTCGTGTGTCAGCAACAGCGTTTTCAATTTGTGTTGAAGTCTGTCCCCAGTTGTTCGTTCACCTTTGCACCAAAAACCAATCTATATATCTTCAGATGGGGATCCCCTTTGAATCCCCTTTGTAGCCCTTTTACGTTTTAGTCTTTTATTAATGCCAAAACTCCCCGAGTCCCCGATTACCCCGAATTTGTAAATAGCAACAACTAATTTTGTTTCATTACCATGATCCCCCTTTCGATTGGCGTTACTTTCTTGAAAGATTTTCCCTCTTCTTGTGTTACAATATTTAAAAGTGCTGCATGTTTTAAGTTGTTGATTTAATTTTAGTCAGAGCTGTTTTTTTTTATTACAATAGTTTTATGTGGCACTGCCACCGCCGCCGCCGCCGCTGCTGCTGCTGTCGTTGCTGCCGCCGTCGCGAAGCCTTAGCAATATTTAATTGTGATTATTTACGGAATAGAACCCCTAGATCTAAGAACCACATAAATGTATTTTGTATATCCAACGGAGTGGAGTGTGGAATGTGGAACGTGCGGAATGGAATCTTTCGATGTATTGTATTTTTTTTTTATGAATTAATATTATTATTATTATTATTATTGTATTGTATAATCCAGCATTTGTTGTAGCTCTGTCTCTGTGTATATATCGTATATTTAATTTTAAAGATGATTTCAAGATGCCACCACAAAGATTTGTATCTGTATCTGTATCTTCTTGCTAGCATTTAAGCGTACTATTTATGCTATACCCACACACACACACACACACACACACACTCGTATTGTAAACCAAACAAAAAGCTAAACTAAAATCGAAACTAAATGTAAATGTAAATGTAAATGTAGTGCATGTATATAGGAAATAGAGATCTGCGTTCGTTTCGATCCTCTTGCCCCACTGGATACAGTTCCTGTATCCGAGTATCCAAGTATCTGTGCATCTGTGCATCTGTATCTGTATGGCCACGCAACGAAAGTGTGAAACGAAACGAAAGATGCTTCTTTTTTTTGTCAATTGAAATTCTACCAACAACCAAAGTTCTGAAGAAAAACAAATACGATAAATGCAAAAACCGTTGGCTTTTCCTTCTTTTGTGGGGGGCTTTCCATGATTTCATAGCACGACAATTGTCGCTTGTGGCATGCCGCTTTGTGGCGAGTTCTCCAAGTATGAATTGGCCGCGTTTATGCGGGATTAAGAGCAGGGAGAACTTCAGCGGTGGAGCCAGCAGTTCAACCGGCAAACTCATTCAACTGTAATAGAGCGGGCGTGCTGCCCAGAGGCTGCCCGGCTGCCTGCCTGTCCGGAAATTTATGAAGATACCCCCGCCCCTGGCCCCATCGCACTCTGGCGGCCGACAAAGGTCGCCGTGCAAGTCAAACCAGAAATCAGAGGGGAAGCAGGGAGCAGGGAGCAGGGAATAGGGAGCAAAAAATTGAAGAATGTTGCGCAGGTTTAGCCCTTTTGCCGTGTAACCAACTGAGAGGCAAACAGGCGGCAGGCCCCTTTGAGTGGCTCCAAAGAGGATGGAAGGATGCACACACACACACACACACATGAGCAAGGCAGAGAGGTAGAGGCAGATGTGGCAGCTGTCGCTGGGCCACTGACGAATCCATTCCACAAATTTGCGACTGAAGGATGGAAACAAAATCAGCGACAGGAAGCTTATGCAAGCATGAGAAGGACTGTACACACACGCACACACACTCTAGCGAGGGCTGTTCGGGGACTTTCCTTCCCTCCCATTAAAAGTCGAATATCATATTCCCGTGGATCGTCCCTCGTTAGGTGCCCAAACATCCTCGCACAAATCTGTAGGTGTGAGAGGAGCTGGCTGGCTGGCTGTCTGGCTGTCTTTCTGCTGTACGTTCCCGAAAAATGCCATTAGGAAAATTCAGCATTTCCCCATTTCCCTCTCCCTCTCTCGCTCTCTCTCTCTGTTTGCTATCTCTGTTCTGCCTGGATCGTTTTTTTGTGGCAGAAAAATGTCTTGGGTAAACATATGCAGGCGGGATGTTAACATGGCGAATAAAATCATGCGAGCAGCAGCAGGAGCGACTCCTCTGCCTTCCCTGCATATGTGTTCGTGTGTGTGTATTTTTAGGGACTGTGTGTTTGCCTAACGAGCTGCATTAATCGCTGATTGCAGCAGCTGAGAAACTGAATCTGAATGTGAATACGCATCCCGTTTCCGGCCCACTTTCACCTGCTCCTCGGACTGTTCCACCAGCCATTGTGAATGTTCGTTCCAGTCGTTTCCCCATAAACTCTTTTCCTTTTTCATTGCATACTTTCTAGCTGCAAAGTAAATGTCGAATGCATGTAGATGTAGATGCCTGCCTTTGACATGCTGCGCACTCATGTAGATCTCTTGTAGAATTCCCATATACTCCTGATTTCTACATGCAGCTCTACAGTAGAGACTCCCGCTCTCATGGCTCCCCGGAGCCCACAGCATCAAAACAACCGAGAACCGAGCTTGGTGTACCTTGGCTCTGGTGTACCCTACAGATACGACGGACCCCGATAGGCCTGTAAGGAAAAGCCTTCTAGCAGCAGTCGATAACCATCTCTCATTGATGGATTATCATTGGTTTAAGCCAACAAATGCTCCATCGATGATTGCTGTCATTGAAAAGGGAATATTAAATGTCTTAAGGATTAAGAAGACTTAGGAACAGCCCCAAAGAAAGAAAGGCTGGCCGTGCATACCCTACACCCTACATAGTGCATAGACGGGTGCGAAGGCTGTGATTGGAATATCATTGAACCTTTGATTTCAGTTGGGATTATCTTTGGAGTGAAACACAGCCGATTCTTGCCGCAAGCCCAGCTGCCGTTGCAAACAAGTTCTTAAAAATGTAATGCCCTCGCTGCAGAGAAAATGAGAGAGAGAGGGGATGGTATGAGTGTGCGTGTGCCACAGATGCTGCAGCCTCTGCTGCTGCTGCTGTAAGCCTGTCCGATGGCAAAATTAAACTAGTGTTTATTTAACTATTAAGCAGAAGTGCACACAGACACAGAGCGAAGCACTTAAACGCTTCTTGCAACAGTCTCTCTCTCTCTCTCACTCGCTCGCAATATCTGTGTATCTGTGTATCTGCGTGCGCGTGTGTGTGTGCATAAAATATAAATGAAACGACGCCTAATGCCATGCAATACAAAAGTCTCGTATGTGTTGTGCAGTATTTTAGTTTTCAATGGCCTGAGCTTTTATGCAAAACAAACACAGCTCCCCCGTCCCCCGTCCCCCTCTCCCTACCCCACCCTCTCACTCTCTGTGTGTGCGTGTGCGCGCGTACATATTTGTGTTTGTATTTAACAGTTGAGGCATTAGCCATTGTCTGCCATCAGCCGCCACATCTCCCTGCCACCCATCCATCCCTTCGGCAGTCCCTCAATCTATGCCGCCCGATGCGGCACAATCTGCTCAATGAATCTCAATAAGTTTGTCCCTGCCACACTGCCTCCTCGTGTATCCATAGATGTCTGTGTGTGTGTATGCCTTTGTTTGCATTCGTGTGCGTGTGCTAAATCAAGCGGTAATTGGTTCTTCTTCTGCCACCACTGCCACTGCCACTGCCACTGCCACTGCCACTGCCACTGCCACTGCCACTGCCACTGCCACTGGGGCGCTCTCTTGTGTCTTATGCCGCTGTTTATATAATTGAAACTAACACAAATAACACTGCAAAAGCTTTCTGATTATGGGGATTTGCGCCAGCCGCAAAATGAGCGTCCCCCCCCCCCCCCCACCACACACACTCCCACACAAAGCCCCCTGCTTGAGGCAAGAGGCACACGGCAAGTGCAGTTTTGAGGCACAATGGGCCAAAACTACATTCGATGACGGCAAATCGATTAATCGAAAAGTATTTGATCTATTTGAATCGATAGGAGTCGAAATTAGCGATAATTCGATGGGATGTCGATGGGATATGCCCTTAAGAGGGTCAGGGGGTAGGGGAATCAGGGGAGAGACAAGGCAATCCCTTAGAGAAGAAACCTGAGGAGGGCAGCATGAATGGACCTCCTTTTCCGATCCACAGCACGTCGATAAAATATTCAAAATACTCTCTTACTCGTTATTCCTTCAAAATAGTCCCTATATGGCCCTCCTTTGGCCCTTGAATACTCAATAAATATGTAAATATGCTTAAAAGTACCCTGGATCATCAGACAATAACAATCAAATGGGCGGTTCCATTCCCACTCGCTTGGGCCATTGCTATGCAATTTTCTTAATTGAAAATTGAATATTCAAGCGAGGGCTGGCTTTGAGGCCCACTGTGCGGCCCTGTATTGGCTTCCATAAAACGCAAGAAGTGTGTGTGTGTGTGTGCGTGTGCGTGTGCGTGTAAGCCTGCTGCTTGATTACTGCTGTAAGCCGGTGTGAGAGTGTGATTGCCTAAGCTGCTATTAACTTAAGTATAACAATGATAAGGATAACGTTGGGCGATTGCCGCCTCCGAATGGCCCGTCTCGTTCCCTGCCACACGTGTGTTTGCACCTTATTTATTTGCCACTCTGCCACACTGCCGCACTGCCGCACTGCCGCTCCGTTCGTGTTAAGTAATTGGAATGGTAAGGATTGGGGTTTCGGGGCAGATAGGCAGGCTGGAGGCCCCACTGCCTTACTGCCCCCTCCCCAATGCCCGGCCCCCCTGCATCTCGCACTCGGCTCATTAGCTGGCAGTGCTCTGCCAGTGAATAGGCATTCAAATGATCGTCTGAATGCACTCACTGCAACTCAATTAACGGCAATGAATGCAAATTCCATTTAAATGTGAAAGATAATTTTGCATTTGGCACTAATTCTGCCAAGCCCTGCCTCTGGCACTCCACTTTTTTATGCCCACACCACCCACCACCCACCACCCCCCACCCCCACAGACATATGTACGGAGGCTGTTCCGCCGGAATGCATTTGCCGTATTCGAAATTAAGCTTCGCATTAAATGCCACAATTGGCAGAAATTTGCCGCAGACATTTCGAGCTACGAACTGCACAAGATTTCGGTCCGAATTTGGTGGCTCTTAAGACCCCAAAACAGATCTGCCCTTTGGCGCCTCCTTGGCAGCTCTAAGGGTCCCCCACTTCAAGGGAAACTTCCTCAATTTGAAGATGGCTTTTCTGTGATTAGTGGATCCTTTGATATGGGATCGTCTCGTGATTGATTTCCCTCACATTCCGCAGTCAAAACAAAAGCCCTTATGCCAAAGGATCTCCTCGCCATTGCCGCACGCAATGTTTCCGATTCCATTATCCCATTCGACCTGTGTGCGGAATCCGCTCTGACAGACGGACGGACTGGGGAGTCCGGCTTCAAAGCGCATTGCTGCGGCGGGCGGCGGAGCCTCAATTAACCCATTATGTCAACAGTTAAACACACACTCAAAGGGCCCTCAACTGTGATGAGTCATGAATCATTTCAGGTGGGGCTCCGCCCCGCCTAGCCCCGCCCCGCCCCTCCACAAGATCAAGATGAGCCGGCAACGCACCCGCCCACCGCCCACCGCCCACCGCCCCCCGCCCATCAACCGCAATGTGTCGTTTCGGGCCCCTCCATGCGTCTATTGTCCTCGGCTTTCGGGCGGCCATTCGCAGTCTCTTTTTAATTGGGGGATAAAGGCCGGTCGGTCGGCCGGCCGGAAGGGGAGGCTGGGGCAGGCTGGGGCAGGCTGAGGCAGGAAGGAGTTAACAAGTGTGTTGGGGCTGCATGTCCACTGCTGTTTTGTGTAATTTGGGGTAAAAACCAAAGCCCCAGCAATCGCATAATGCGCCGTCGTCTGCCTCTGGACGTCGTCCCCATCCCCATTCCCATTCCCATCCTGCTCGACTGGCCACTTGTCATAAATAAGCAGTCCAGCCCCTTGCCCTACACACTCTCTCTCTCTCTCTCTCTCTCTCTGTGTGGGGCACTGCCACACATCCCACATCCAATCCCAGGGCTCTCGCATTGAACGAGTGAATTCAATTTAACGAGAAATTGCAACAATCAACGTTGCTCCTGCCACTGCCACTGAAACTGCCACTGCCAGTGCGCCTCATGTGTCCACACATTCTGC